TAGCACACACATAGACACTCAGAGTAAGCACAGAGGGCCAGATAGGGGAAGAGAAGGAGCCAGGTGTGGGGTTAAGCAGAGCTGGGCTGCATAACTTTGGCAAGTGACTGGCATGCCTATAAAAGCAGGTAATGGATTGCACTGGTTGATTCCCGTCCTGTGCAGTATGTTTCTCAGAGTGATGCACCAGCCAGGCACAGCAAGCTGCCCAGGCTGGGGAGGGGAGCCTGTGACCTGGCCCATGCCCCAGGTCCTGGAGGGGTGAGCAGAGAACAGGCAGTCTCCCTGACTCCTGAGCCTGTCTTATAGGCATGGCTCCATGTGGATTTCATTGGTGACTTCATCATTGTCCTAACGTATAGCCTTGACACTTTTCCTAAGGAGCTGCTTCTAAGCAGGATTCCCATCCTGAGGTGGAAGTCTTCAGGTCTCTCCTCCACATCCATGGTCTGGATTCACCTTGTGATGTGACACTTACCTTTTCTTTTGAGTTGGAAAGAGCCAGACCCTTTGGGGCTCTGCAGTCTTCTGGCTTCATCCAAGACTCTCATTCTCTCTGGCCTGTGGCCAAGGCCTTCCAGAGGTCAAGACAGGGCCTGTGCCACTTCCTTTTTGTTTATTTGCTTCTTTGGGCTCCCAATATTTTGTCAATGCAAAGACAGGGTTACAAAAATGGTAGCACACTTTTTATGTCCAACCAATCTGTGTATCCCTGAGACTATGTATTGAAGCTCACTTGTATATAAAAACAAAGGTCTACATTCCATGAACTTGGGGATTGAGAGGCCTGGGGTAAGTGCACACCCCATCCTCCCTCTGCACGTGCACACTCACACACACGTCCCTGCGCCCTCACCAGGGTAGGACCTTCCTGTACCTCTGGCTGCCAGAAGGGACTTCTCACCCTAGACCTGGCCCACGTGTGACGGACCCTGTCCCTGTCTTTTTCTTCTTTCCCTCATCATTTTCTAGCAAGCACCTTCATGCCTTTGACCTTCTATGTGCTGCAGAGACGCTGCTGCCTACCCTCAAGCCCTGAAGAGTCATTATCCTCCCAGGTGATTTCATTTCCCCACTCATTCACTCACTCACTCACTCAGCAAGAAGCGCCCCATGGGCCAGACACTGATCTAAGCCCTGAAGATACGGCCAGGAACAGCACAGACAATGTGGACCTTACACACACTTTTTCTTTTAACCTCTCCCTAGGGATTCACCATAAATGACAGAATCCCTACTGACTTCCTCTAAAAATGCACAGAGTTTCATGTTTGCACTTTAGCAATCAGACTTCTTGGTCCTGCCCTGCCAGGCCCCACACTCTTCTGTTGCTTTTGGGGGAAGGGCCACTTGGCCTCAGCAGCCAATATTTCTAAGAATTTATTTTAGGCATGAAAAGAATCCCAAGCCCATGGATATTTAAGTAGTCAGCTTTCAGCTTTTTTTCCATCTCCCCAAGACTTTTCTCTCCTCCATCTTATTCCTCCCCCGCAGCCACCTCCTCACCCCTACCGTCTGCGTGGTCAGAACTTGAGCATATCTGTGGAGAATCAGAAGCAACTACAGAGCTGGAAAGACCCAGCCTTCTGGGGAGTTTGTTCCTGCCTATGTGGGGTGTAGTGTGGTGCGGGGAGAACCCCTAGCTTCTTGGTGTGCCAGCTTCTGTGACCCCAAGCAGGGTCTCTTCCCCAAGCCTCTGCATTCACCTGCGGAATAGGAGTCCAGTAGCCCTGAGCTTGGCTCTCAAAGAGCCCTGAGAATGCTCTTTGTAGTGATTGACACAATGAAGAGCCTCCGCGGGGTATGCCAGAATGTTTCTCTTCTGTCAAGGACATTCTCAGAGCATAATGCTTGAAGCCTAGGTGACTGAGTACCCTTTTTAAATTTTATTTTTTTGAGACAGGGTCTCTCTGTCGCCCAGGCTGGAGTGCAGTGGCACAGTCATGGTTCACTGCAGCCTCAACCTTCTGGGCTAGAACAGTCCTCCCACCCCAGCCTCTCGAGTAGCTGAGACTACACATATTATTTTTTTTGTACAGGTGGGGATCTCACTATGTTGCCCAGGCTGGTCTCAAACTCCTGAGCTTGAGCAGTCCTCTTGCCTCGGATTCTCAAAGTTCTGGGATTACAGGCGTGAGCTGCTGTGGCCGGCCAGCATCCTTTTTATTGCTCAGATTGCTCCCTATATGGCTGGTAACATGGTCCCTTTCTCCGTTGCCTTTCATGGGGAAAGGACTAGGGTGGTCCCTGGAGGGCAGGGGGACGTGTGCCATGGTACATGATTTGGCAAGTTGGGGCCCCAAAAATGGTTGGTGAAAGTGATGCATGTGGTGGCATTTCATTCTCCAGGCCTTTTTCTTCTGTGAAGTGCAGACAGTTAGTCTTCCTTGGAAAGCCCTCGGCCTGGCTGTCAGTGAGTTTCTGTTGATGATATCTCAATGAAAGTTTCCAAGCTTCAGGAACCTCCCTTAGGGCCAGGCACCAGGCGGGTGTGTTATTCACATGATCTCATTTATTTCACATTGCATGGCAACCTTTCAAAGTAGGTATTTCTGTGTCCATTTTTACGCGAAACTAGAGCTAGGAGGGATTAAGAAATTTATCTAAGACTGTGCAGTTAGCTAGAAGTAAATTTAGGGTGTCAGCTCCCCAAATCCATCAATCTAATTCTAAAACTTGGGCTGTCTTGTGCACATTATCTCTCTAAATTTTTCTGCAGAAAACTTGTTTTTCAGAAACTCTATAAATCAGTCGTAAAGGAATGTTGGAGAGAGTGATGATTAAAATCTGAAGAATGAGAACAACTTTTATTACAAATCGATATACAGGCTGGGCATGGTGGCTCATGCCTGTAATCCTAGCCGTTTGGGAGGCCAAAGTGGGCTGGCCAATTGCTTGAGGTCAGAAGTTTGAGACCAGCCTGGCCAGAGATAGGTGAAACCCTGTCTCTACTAAAAATACAAAAATTAGCCGGGCTTGGTGGCGAGTACCAGCAATCCCAGCTACTTGGGAGGCTGAGACAGGAGAATCTCTTGAACCTGGGAGGCAGAGGTTACACTGAGCTGAGATTGTGCCACTGCACTCCAGCCTGGATGGCAGAGACTCCATCTAAAAAACAAATCAATATACAGATGCAGTAGAAGCAAATTTTGTCTCCTACAAATCTCTACATATAGTTAGCCTCCCTTAGGTTATTACATAGAATTGTAAGCCATTAGCTCTTTAAAAATATGTATGTGTGTGTACACACACACACACACACAGAGTGAGTCATGTTCACTTACATTCTGAGAAAGGCATCATTAGGTAATTTTGTTGTTGTGCAGACATCATGGAGTATACTTATATAAACCTACGTAGCATGGCCTCCTACACACCTAGGATATATGGCATAGCCTGTTGCTCCTAGACTACAAACCTGTGCAGCATGTGACTGTACTGAATACAGTACAGTAGACAGGTGTGACATCATCATAAGTAATTGTGCATCCAAACATACTAAACATAGAAAAGGCACAGGAAGAATACAGTATTTTATGAGACCGCCATCCTATACGCAGTTTATTGTTGACCGAAGCATCCTGCAGTTCATGACTGTGTGTGTGTGTGTGTGTGTGTGTGTGTGTATGTGTGTGTGTATTCAAAGGGCTGCACTAGTCAAAAATTGTGAGGTTTTCTCCAATTGGTGAAATTATCTAAATAAGCCCCCTCAGATTTAGCCCCTAGTCACTTTTAAGTTAGTACATAGGGAATGCTTAATGAAAATTGCTTTTTCCTAGGTGAGATTTTTCAGTCCCCAAGTGGGGGAAGCATTTTACTTATGAAACCACCTCAAGTGACCAGCAAACAAAGTCGGAAAGCCTGGCCCTGTGCTAGAGACTCTGTCTTTGCATCTCCTCCCTCCCCTTATGTGGCCTTTTCTCTTCAGATCAGTATTTACCGAATGTGCCAGGTTTCTAAGCACTTACATTCTGCCCCCCATTCCCAGGGATAGGGTGGGGTTTTTAGGGGAGGGAGGAGCCCCTTGTGTGTTGGCCTGGTGGGAGACAGGAGGGGCCGTGCACTGCTGCCGGGGCAGGGGCAGGGGGAGTGTTGGATTGCCTTTTGTTTTCAAATATATATATAAATATAGTTATAAACATTTATACATTGATATATTTGTATGTAATGTCTGTATTTATTTTTCAATGTATATGTGTATATGTGTGTGCCTATATATGTATGTGCATGTATGTGTATATGTATGTATGTGTACATATGTACCTGTATGTATATATGTATCATGTATGTGTATATATGTACTGTGTGCATATGTGTATATGTGTGCATACATGTGTATATGTGTATGTGTGTCTATATGTGTGTATACATACGTATGTGTATGTATGTATATGCATGCTTTCTTCCTTATACAGAGAAATACCCCAGACTGGAAGACGGTACTTATAATTTATATGTACAAATATGCATAGTTTAATTTTAAAACTTATATATGGATATATACATTTATATGATATGTATCCCTAAATATATATATACTTATGTGTGTGTGTGTACATCTCTAGTTAAAACTTGGCTTGTGCCCCGAGTGTGTGAAACTCCCCAGACTGACACACTGTGCCACACTGGTTCTGGAGAGCTGGGATTCTACAAGACCACGGCCCCCAGTGCTGTCCTCTGGTCTAGTGTGGAGATGCAGGCTGCCTTGCATTGGGGTGTCAGGGCCGATCATTCCCGTGGTGTCTGGGAGGAGCTGCGCTCCCACACTGAGAGAACTAGAGAGCTGGCTGTTTTGGAGCAAAGGAGAATACAAAAGCTATGGGAGCCGGCACTGGCAGGTGGTTGCAGCAGCTTCTGGAAGGTTGGAAGGGAAGGGGGTAACATTGGAAGCAGTGGGGGCCCCGGGCAAGGACCCAGAGATTGGAAATGCAGCCGTTCTCGTCGTGCGACGGGGTGTGGTGGCTGCCCCAATGAGCGCTCCGCCCATCTTTGGGTTTCAGGTCCCACCCGAAAGATGCCCCCCAGCGCCAGTGCCGTGGACTTCTTCCAGCTCTTTGTCCCGGACAATGTCCTCAAGAACATGGTGGTGCAGACAAATATGTACGCCAAGAAGTTCCAGGAGCGGTTTGGGAGCGACGGAGCCTGGGTGGAGGTGACGCTGACGGAGATGAAGGCGTTCCTGGGCTACATGATCTCCACCAGCATCTCTCACTGCGAGTCCGTCCTCAGCATCTGGAGCGGTGGCTTCTATAGCAACCACAGCCTCGCCCTTGTCATGAGCCAGGCCCGCTTTGAGAAGATCCTCAAGTACTTCCACGTCGTGGCCTTCCGCTCCAGCCAGACCACCCACGGGCTCTACAAGGTCCAGCCCTTCCTCGACTCCCTGCAGAGCAGCTTCGACTCTGCCTTCAGGCCTTCCCAAACCCAGGTGAGGCCAGCTCGGGGCTAGGGGTTGGGATAGAAGCCTGGCCAGGTATCCTCACACTCTCGGCCTAGCCTTGCCTGGCGGCCAGGCTTTGGGGTGCCCTGCCTGCCCTGCCTGCCCTGCCTGCCCTTCCTGCCCTTCCTGCCCTGCCTGCCCTGCCCTCTGAGTTCACTTCAAGGTCACCTCTGCTATTCTTCCATTCCATTAATCCACATAATCCCAATTAGATCAGAGGGGAGTAATAATAGTAGCTCTAACCCACAGACAAGTCAGAATTCAGTCTTTTATCCTGAGAGGCAGTTTTTCTCCTCTTTTCTCCCCATCCATCCTCTTCTTTAATTATACTTTCTTTCCAAATAATGTTTTGCTCAGGCAAATACTAATTTTCTGGTCATATACTCTGAGTATGAGCTCACCTATTGGTGATGAAAGGAGGCTTAGAAGCCTTCTGGGTGGCGGAGGGAGTGAGCCTGGAATTGCAGCCATTCTTCGGATCCTTGGGGGTTGCTTTTGGCCACGCAGAACACAGCCAGAGCTGTTGGGTGAGGGTTTGGCAGAGCTCCAGACATCACTGGACTGATTCCCTAAGACCTTCCCTAACCAGTTCCCAGACAAGAGGGTTCTGCCTACTCTCAGCTCCCGAGCCCCTCCCTGCCTTCTGCTGGTATCCACTTGCACCTGGCCCTGGGAAGACAGAACTCCAGAATCTTCCTCGAAATTTGCCCTGCTGGTCTAGCAAACTAATGAGATGGCTAATTTCTTCTTCTTTTTTTTTTTTTCTAGACAGAATCTTGCTCTGTCACCCAGGCTGGAGGGCAGTAGCACGATATCAGCTCACTGCGACCTCTGCCTCCTGGGTTCAAGCAGTTCTCCTGCCCCAGCCTCCCGAGTAGCTGTGATTACAGGCACCCACCACCACACCCGGCTAATTCTTGTATTTTTAATAGATGGGGTTTCACCATGTTGGCCTGGCTGGTCTTGAACTCCTCACCTCGTGATCTGCCCGCCTCGGCCTCCCAAAGTGCTGGGATTATAGGCATCAGCCACCACACCCAGCTGAGATGGCTAATTTCTGGAGATGTCTTTAACCCGAACCAGGAAGTTCTTGGCATATGTGAGCCCCATTCCCTTTGTCTTGGTTTGTGTGGCAATAGCAGTTCAGTTCAATTATATATATATATTGAGAGACCCATTGCACACCTATCTGTCCTGTGCTGCTTCTAAGGCTCTTCTAAATAAACCTCCAATTCTTATTGACATTCCCCTCTAGGTCCTTTCTCTAACTCTCTATAGGATGCCTTCCCTGCAACACGGCTGAAAATCACAGGGTTTTTGTGGGGAAGGTACTGTCCTATTTCATGTCTGCGGGAGCCTTACATTCTCTCTGGATTTTTCTCCCCACTGTCTGGTGAACACGTCAGGCTCGTTATGATTTCCCGGTGTTTGCAGCGTGCCTTCTGGGCCCTGGAACGCTTTGCTTTCTCTCTACTTTGCAAATGCATCCAGTGTCCAAGGCCAGTGTAAGGCCCACAGTCCTTGTGGATTCCCTGTTATCTGAATTCCCGCCACTACCAATGGGTTAGTCACATGCCACTGCACCTCATCCTCCAGTGTGTCACTTACCTTCCTAAGAAGAAGTGGAGACTTTCGGGGACATGAGCCCTGCCCTATGACAGGTCCTGTGGTACCAAAGGACAGGTTTGAGCACTATCTTTTCTTTCACTAAGTACTTACTTGGTTGAAAATGAAACAAATGAGAGACAGTTGTCTGGATGCAAGGGAAAAATAGACAACACGTTCTGACCCTGCTGGGGGTCAAACATTTGGAGAGGTGCTGCAGAAGACTCAAGAGGTATCTGCAATGTAAGTCCAGGGAAGTGCCGGCTTCTCTGGCACACTAGATTTGTGGGTCACCTCTTCGCAGCCCCCAGGCACATGTGCCCTGAGGGGAAACCCGGAAGCGTTGCTGAGCCCAGCTGGGTGGGCAGTGGCTGGATCTTAGAGCCTTCAGAGGACTCCCAGAATCTAGCAGTAACCAAAGCAGCTGGTGTGTGTGTGTGTGTGTGTTTCTACACACAAACAAAATGGGGAGACACTGCATCTCCTCATAACTGGAGCCAGATTGATTAGAGAAATCTTTTCTGGGAGGGATTATGCAAATCAATAAATGGATGTTTTGTCTTTCCCCCACCGTACATACCACCCTCCACACCTCAAAATGAGCTCGTCATGCACAGGAGGAGGCTCAGGAGATACAGCTGTGTAACAGAGAAATGCTGACCAATCTGCAGCCTGGAAGAGGAGAAAGTGGTTTTTCTGTCAGGCAAAGTTTTCGGAGCTTTGGGGAGCATGCTGTTATGTGCTGCATTTAGAAATGACAGATTCATAATTCATTTAATGATGATAGAAAGGGAAAAGGATCACGGAGGGTCAGAAATTCTTGCTGGCCCTTTTGCTTTGTTGAGGCATGTGATTAAATATAAATTTGCAACTGATCATATGTTCAATGCAAGTGGAACAGAGACACACTTTCTTTCTGAAGAGAATGAGAGAGGGCAGTTTTCATTTACTGTGGCCTCAGAGGATGAAGAGTAGGATGCAGGTCTTTGGCAAGGATCACTGGGCAGGGAGAGGACAGACAGAGGGCTTCTTTATGCCATCTTTTCCCTTCTCCATCTGCGCCCATTCTCCCACTGTGGAAGATCGGGGGTGGGGGGGACTTGTCCATTGCACTAGAGCAGTTCCAAATGGGGCTTTGAATGTTTTATGAGCTGCAAAGAGCCAGCAAGTGCAAGAAGCCAGGCATGAGGGCCAGGGGAGACACTGCAGCCAGGATAGCCTCCCAGCCTGGGAGGATTCAATTTTCAAAATCCTCCCTAGAAGAATGGAAGGATACTGTCCACATCACACGTGGTGTCATCCTCCATTCCGTCCTTGGGAAAACCTTTTTCTGACATCACCTGGGAGCTTGTTGGGAATGCACAGTCTCAGGCCCGGCCTTACTGAATCACAGTCTACATTTTAGCAGGATCCTCAGGTGACTAATGTGTTCAAACTTTTTCTGTAAATAGCCACATGGTTAGTATTTTAGACTTCATATGGGTTGTGTGGTTTCTGTTGCATGTTTTTAGCGGTAGCCCCAAAGCAGCCCCAGCCAATATGTAAGCGAATGAGCATGGCAGTATTCCAAAACAACTTTAGCTGCAGAAACAGACGTGGGCCAGACCAGGCAGTAATGTGCTGACCCCTGATCTAGGGCATCGTGCAGAGTTCTGGAAATCATTGCCTGCACTCGTTTCATTTGACTGCAGGTGCACACTCTAATTCATGATTAAGCTTGGGATATGATCAGGGAGGGAAGTGTAGAACATTCCTAAAATAGACCCTGAAGCCTCTCAAAAGAGCTTTACCTTGAAGAAACAGATCTGTGGCCACTCCTTGGAGCCAATTTTTGTTATGCTGTTTTTTTCTTTATTGTCTTATTATTGGGAAAAGTCCTATGATCATGTTATCAAAAAGTTGAAATAGATGAAATAAGTTTAAAAAATGCCTTGGGAATCTTGTCGGAAAGGACATGACAACCTAGAGGACAGCCAGAGGCTGTGTGTTGCAGCGGGCCCACGGGGAGCTGGGTCATCTCATGAATGATTTATAAAAAGAGGAGGTTCAGCCTGGAGGAAGGAGATTGTGGGCTGACACGAGGGCTGTCTTGAAAATTAAAAAAAAAAAAACATTTTTTCTTTTTTTCTTGCTGGACAGAAGCCACATCCCTAGGTTTAAGTTAAATATAGGTAAATTGTGGGTCAGTGGAAGACCTTAGTAGTTGGAACTTTCCATAGTAGCAGGGACATCCCTGAAAAGAAGTGGGTGCCCACCACCAGGCATGTCCAGCCAGAGGCCATAGGACCCGTGTCAGGGATCCCTCAACCATGTGAGAGTTGGGACTAGGGACCTTAGGCCAATAATAATAACAATAATAATAAACTCCTTTGATGAAATAGCTACTGTGTGTCAGGGAGGGCCGGTGTTAAGTATTTTGCATACAGTTTCTTACTGAATTCTTTCTAGAAACAGTAGCATAGACCATGATACTACCTTCTTACAGGTAAGAAGGGTCAGGATCAGACAGGTAAAGTAACTTAGCTAAGGCCACACAGCTGCTCAAAGGCAGAGGCTGAGTTTGAGCTCCAATCTGATGAGCCCCCAAGCTCATGCTGCCTTCCATGAGACTCTGCTTTTTCCCTACCGGCAGGTGCTACATGAACCCCTGATCGATGAGGATCCTGTATTCATTGCCACGTGCACAGAACGGGAGCTGCGCAAGAGGAAAAAGCGGAAATTCAGCCTCTGGGTCAGACAGTGTTCTTCCACTGGCTTCATCATCCAGGTGAGCCCTGGGCTGAGCCCAGGGAGGGTCGGCAGAGAGGGTTGGGGAAGAAAATCGGTGGGACCTGGGCTCATCTCATAACCAAGAACTTGTTCACATACCCTTTTCACTGTGTGTCCAAGTCCACCCGATGCTCCTGCCAAGGCCAGGGCTGGGCTGTTCCCTCCTCACCGGGCCAGCGGATAACCAGCCCTGGAGAGGCTGCTGCCACATCTGGCCCTGTTCCCTGTACATTCTTCCTCCAGACTCCAGCCCATCTGGGTAAATGACTCATCAAGGTTCAGGCCCTAGCAATGTTGGCCAGAAGTGTCACCCAAATGGTGGGTCATATGAAGTGACTACCATCGCCCTGTAGATTGTCCCTCAAGACTTATGGACTTGTGGCTTTGAAACTCAAGGCTGTCGCAGAAGGCTTCCCCACTCCCACCAGGCATCTGCCCACCCTTCCTGTTTCCAGGATGCCTTCTTTACAGACCACCACCAACAGCCCACTGGTGAAATTATGAATAACCTTCACCAGGAACATGTGCCCAAGTCATCAGCCCTTGGACCCCGCGTGGCTGACATGGGTGCCTGTTTTACAAGAGGTGGCTGAGCTCTGCTCCAGGCAAAGCATATGAGGTTGATCTGCCAGGAGCAGTAGGGTACACAGAGGGAGATGGTGGGGACGGATAAACACCAGAATGTGGTGCCTAGGTGATGTCTCCCTGCCTAGTCTAGTTTCTCATGTGTGCTGCACAGCGACACCTCTCATCAGACAGGCAGGCCAGCCCTGCGGTGACAGCTGACCACACGCTCACTCACTGCCCTCGCTTGACCGCATCCCCAGGCCCCAAGGCACAGGGGTTTTACACTTCCATCTTAACCTGAACTAGAGCAGGATTCATAGGAAGATTCCGCTGAACCTCTCCTGTCCACACCTGCTCCAGAACCACAGTGGGGCAAGTGCGCTTGCTCTGGGTGTCTTCCCTCCTTCCTTTCAAAGCACCATCCTGGCTCCTTCTGCAGGTCTGAGGCCCTTCAGGTTGAGCTGGGGCCAGGATCTCCAGCCAGACCAGGGACTCTGCTTGTACATACGTACTGTTTGGGGTCTTGCCACACTGGTCCTATCCCAGAGGGGAATTCCCTCACTCCTAGAGGTGCAGCCTCAGCTCCTTGTCCCCTCATATTCTCCAGAGTCCTCTGCCATCTCCATAGTGCCTTTTGTGATGATACTCTCATAGAGTACAGGTGCATCAGGTTCATTTTAAATAAACCTTCCCAAGGGACATTGGTTGATTCTTTCAGTAAATATTTTTTGAGCATCTGCTACCTGCACACATTGTACCAGGCATTGGGATATACAAACATGGCCCTGCCTTCCTTGAGATCTGCCTAGGTAGCTTTTTTTGTTTTGAGACAGGGTCTCACTCTTCCACCCAGGCTGAAGTAAAGCAGCATGATCATAGCTTACTTCACTCAGCCTCCCAGGCTCAAGTGATCCTGTCACCTCCACCTCCCAGGTAATTGGGACTGTGGATGTGTGACACCATTCCCAGCTAATTTATTTTTATTTTCATTTTGGTAGAGGTAGAGTCTCACCATATCGCCCAGGCTGATCTTGAACTCCTAGGCTCAAGTGATCATCTGCCTCAGCCTCCCAAAATGCTGGGATTACAGTTGTAAGCCACCGCACCAGCCCTGTGTAGCTTTTGAATAAACATTTCCATGCGGATCCCGTGTGCATCTGGCATCATTTCCTTCTCCCTCTATAGTTAGTAAGGAGCTAGAAATCACATCGTCACAAGGCAAAGCCACGGATCTCTCTCTCTCTCTCTCTCTCTGTCTGTCTCTCTCTCTGTTCAGATTCTTTCCCACTTTTATAAATCTATAAAACCCACATCTATAATATAAGAAGTTTGGGTTGGTACTTTGAAGTTTCCATTCATTTCTAAAAGTCTTGATTCTAGGAATTTTTGCAGCAACATGAAGGTTTGTTTTTAGAAGCCAGAACTGAAGCTGACAACTATCAGTCAAAAGTAGCGTAGCTTCCACCATTGCCAGGGGCAGCCTTCAGAACATGCTCAGAGTGCGGAGCAGTGGGGGCAGTTCCCCTGCAGTTACTGGCTGTGCTGTGACAGGGCTGGCAGGAGAACTTTCTCAGCCCTCACAGTCCCTCTCTTTATTTCCAGCTCCAGCTGAAGGTGCCTGTGGCAGGCATAGAGCAGGGAAAGGACATCTCTGCCTGTGAGGAGCCTGGAGATTCAGAGGAGGAGCCACATGGCCTGGGGACAGTTGGTTTTTTAGTGTCATGCCCCTTTTCTTGGTTGTGTAGTTTCATCCTGCCAAGACCCTGAGCCTTTGACTGGCTCGACTAGACTACATTCTTCTGACAGGTGGGGCAACTGCGGGATGAGCTCCACTTGAAAGATTCTAGATCAAGAAGTGAGTGAAAAAAAGAAGTTCCAAATTGACCAGTGGTCCCAGAAAAGATCCATGGGAAAGCTGAATGGGAACTCAGTACAGCCAGCTCAGATCATCTGGGCCTCAGGTGTGGTCAGTTTAGCCCCGTAAGGGCATTTGGATGAGAAGGAAGAAACTAACAGTTGGACAGAAATAATAATTACGGTGATGGTGTTTAGAAGAGCTCCAATAGATCTATATTTTTGTAGGTATAATGCACTTGAATTCATTTGAAGGGAAATCTTTGATGAAAGTGGCTTAAAATCTTAAGTAATTTAAGGGAATATGTGGTATGTTGTAGGATGGACATGAGAGGAAGAGATTAAATTAACTATCATTGAAAAAATTAAGACCCTAATAGCCTGTACTGCTGAGAATGCAAGAAGCAAAGAGTAAGAAGTTTCGAGGAGAAATAAGTCATCAGATGAGAAGCAGACACAGCTTTACTGCAGAGTGGGAGACTACCTGTGAATGCCATCCCGGCCTGAAACGTGGTCCTGCTTGTCCGTCCTCACATTCCTCTTTTCAGTCTTCTTCCAGCAATCTCTGAAATGAGGCACTGGTTCAGATGGGTGGGCTTCATCTCCCACTTGACATTTGTAGGGCTGTCCTGCAGAACTGCTTACCTCAAAAGTCCTTGGATCCAGAATGTGTGTCTTGGTGTTTCACCAAGCACCCAGCACTTGGCAAGGAGTCAGGAGGCAAGGATGCTAACCTGTGGTGCTCCAGGCCAATGGAAACTGTCAGATGAGGCCATTCACGTTGCTCTGTGAAGTAGATTACCGCAGGTGGTGGCTCTTTAGGTCTTTGGTAATTTGGTCAACTTTAATATGAGGAATGATAAGAAATAAAATATTTCAACATCAATATTAGATAGATCGATGAGACAGAAAATTAATAAGGATATTTAAGACTTGAACTCAGATCCGGAACAAGTAAACTTAATAAACATTTATAGAGCTCTCCACTTTACATACATAAAATATACATACTTGTCAGTACCACATCACACCTACTCATAGGTTTAAATGAAATATTGATTGGCCATTATTAAGCACAATTATTGGCATAAAAGAGGTTTTCAATACCCATTTTTAGAATAAAACAACATTCCTGTTCTCTCTCCCTCTTTTTCTTCCTCTGTCTTCCTCTCCTTCATTCCTTTTTTTTTTCTTTCTCTCCTTCAAAAAAAAAAAAAAGACCTGTTATACATTCTTCCTTAGTATGTTTTCATTAGTGACAACTTTTAAGAGCTGACATCTATTTACTGAGTCAGGGCTAGGATTAGGTCACCATGTGGCAGGCAGAATCATGTTCCCCAAAAGCATCCACATCCTAATCCCCAGAACCTATGAATAAGTTATCTTTCACAGCAGTTGTGATTAAATTAAGAATCTTAACATAGGGAGAGTATCCTAGATTATGCAGGTGGGCCTAGTATAATCACAAAATAAAATAAAATATATATTGTGGGGGATAAAACGAGAGGCATGATTCTGTTATCAACAAGCATAGCTTTTTGTGATGGTAAAATGCAGATAGCATGCAATTTTCCATTTTCACCATTGTTAAGTGTATGACTCAGTGGCACTAAGTACATTCAGTGTTGTGTAGCGGTCACCATCATCCCCTCTGGGACTTCTCCATTATTGCAGCAGATGAGGGCACATCTCTTAGCTGCATAACTGACCCCTAGAAGTAGTGGATCACCCATGAGCCAAGGTGCTTTCCAGATGCCCGGTCAGTGCTTTGGAAGCTCAGAGGAAGGGTCATGGTCTAGTTGAAGGCTCTACTCTGTCTCCCTTGAAGGTCGTCTCACTTCCCCGGGTGAGACTGACCACGATCTCCAGCTCTCCCAGGGCTGTGTGTGGGGCTCCCAGGGAGAAACACGTGAATGGCTGAGACAGCCTATGTGCTTCTTGGCCTTCAGCCCTGTCACCATCTGTCTACATTCCATGCAGGGGCAGTACTTGCTGTCATTGACTTGTAGCATTGTTGAGCCAGTCTGTCATCCAGAGTCTCTGTGGGGTGCAGGGATGCCTAGGAGTGCCTGTTCTTTATTTCCTGCTTGAGCCAGCTTTCTAGCTTTACCCCTGATATCAGCCAGACTTGGGGGTGTGATGGTTACTTTGATGTCTCTGGTCTTTGGCTGGACCATGGTACCCAGCTATTTGGTCAAATAGTAGTCTAGATGTTGCTGGAAGGTATGCTTTTAGTTAAATTTTAAATGGGTGACCTTTGAGGAAAGCACATTAGCATCCATAATGTGGGTGGGCCTCAGCCAATCAGTTGAAGCTCTTAAGAAAATGATTGCTGGCTGGTCGTGGTGGCTCACGCCTGTAATCCCAGCACTTTGGGAGGCCAAGGCGGGTGAATCACCTGAAGTCAGCCTGACCAATATGGTGAAACACAGTCTCTACTAAAAATACAAAAAAATATTCGGGCGTGGTGGCATATGCCTGTAATCCCAGCTACTTGGGAGGCTGAGGCAAGAGAATCAGTTGAACCTGGGAAGCGGAGGTTGCAGTGAGCCAAGATCACACCATTGCACTCCAGCC